GTATGCTATTACTTTTCTACGCAGCCTTGAACATGACATGCATTTAAAAAAAAATAGATATTGCAGCCAAGAATTAAGAATAATTTCTCACACTTATCAATTTCCTCATTTTAGTTAAATCGTGGATACCTTTGATTAATTTGTTCGCTTGTTTTAAGTGAACTGTAGCCATGTTATTGCCTAAAAATGAAAGAACGAATTAACAAGCTATGGGAACAATGCCCTGATAACCAATGTGCAACAACTTTTTCACAGGCAAACACTACACACGGATTCTTCAGAAAATATACAAATCTAGTATGCTTAATATGTTTGTTGCACACTGTCAACAAAAGCCGATAAAAACAAATATATTCAACCAGCTGTTGTCTTTAACAGAGAGGACCTCTACAGCCCTGAAAGTCAGCAGAGACCAGGAAAACTAGATGAGCCCCAGATATAGATCCCCAGTAAAGACCTTGTCTCAGACGGCCACCGGGACAAGACCACAGGAGCCAGTTGAGTCCTCTGCACAATGTGACTTTGCTGCAGCCTGAAATTGACCTGCTGGTTTCGTCTGGTCAGAGGACAACTGGTCCCCCGACTGAGCCTGGTTTCTCCCAAGGTTTTTTCTCCATTCTGTCACCGATGGAGTTTTGGTTCCTTGCCGCTGTCGCCTCTGGCTTGCTTAGTTGGGGACACTTAATTTCCAGCGATATCATCGACTTGATTGCACAGACACTATTTAAACTGAACTGAGCTGGATGATGACATCACTGAATTCAATTATGAACTGCCTTTAACTGAAAAATGAGTGTTTACTGTTGTCCTTTTGCATTATTGACACACTATTTTCCTAAGTAATGTTGTACAGTTGCTTTGACACAATCTGTATTGTTAAAAGCGCTATATAAATAAAGGTGACTTGACTTGACTTGACTTTAAGACAGTGTGAGAAGGAGAGAGGCTGAAAGATGATTAAATGTCTTGTCAAAGTGAACACAGTGCGACTCTAGGCATCTCACAAAGCAAGGAAAAGCGTGGGCTGACTGTGCTGAATTACCCAGAATACCACACTGAGACATCTTACACAACAACCACATGTTGCTGGGAATCAAAAGTACCAACAGCACATTTATGCATCCCTTGCTCTTCTCCACTGCACAGCATAATAGCTGCATGTCCTAGAACACCGGGCGGGGGGTAAAGAGACAAGCATTGATGAGATACTTATTCTGCTCTACGGTGACTCATTCGGTTAAAGAGATCGCCCCAGAATGAGAACAGCAGCTCTGAGAAGGCTTGTCTGACTGCTTTATGATGATGAAGTCCTCTCTGAATCTGCTGCACACTGGCAGAGTTATTTCTAAATTGCTGTGCGGTAGGCCTGCACAATTAATCGAATGCGATTGTCCTGCTCTTGGATGGAGATTTACTGCTAATCATAGAACCGTGCTTCACTGAAAGATACGCATGACAATCGCAGCTTCTGTCGAATCGCGATCTCGATTCCATTTCGATTTATCGTGCAGCCCTAGTGTGCGGCTATAAATTTGTTATTTAAATTCTGCAATACGACACTCATTAAGTATGGGAATTCACAGGGAGTGTTATAACAACACCAGTCGACACAATTAATGAGCTACAGGACTGAAATCACTAAGCATGTCCAACAACCTGTCGAGGTAGAAGTTGTGAGTTTGGGAGGTTGTTTTTTACTCAACACAAATTTAAACACAGTTATGGGAGAAGTAGCACATTACTACAATTAGATGCAGATAAATATGGGAATATAGTGTCAATGTTTGTGATAAACAGAGTAAAAAGTTACAAAGAGTTTAGTTTAAACAAAATGTTACAACACACCCTGAACCTTCATTTATTCTTGTAATTTTCAGCACTTTAATATGGTATAATTTTATATTTTTATCATCACTTTTCTCATACTTACATTACGTATTTACTCCATTATAATCTACCTGACTCTTGTCTAAAAGTATATCTGAAAAAAAAAAATCATTAAAAAAATGCATATTTCTAAAGCATCCTATTATTTGCAATTGTGTATTATATTTCTATACCAAACAAAGCGCATGGATCATAGCTGATGTTATGGGAGAAAATGCTTATGCTGTGCCAGTTTAGGCCAAATACACACTACGATTGCTATTCGTTAGAGATCTGAATTGATGTATATTTTTCAAGATAATTATTACTGATCATACTTAATGTTACTGATACTGTAATTTGAGCAGGCTAACCTTTGACAGAAATCTGACCGAAGAACTGACCTTTAATCAGAACACTATACACACATGATGATTTTCACAGTCCTTTACTCTCAAACACAGCAAAATGTTAAAGTATCTGTATTTCAAAACTGCACTAATAAGCAAATGTTAACTAGATTTATATCTGCTGTAATATTTATATTATGCTGTAATATAACATGCATGACTTTTCATAGTCAGATTAACCCAAAAAAAAGCATATTAAAATACAATATTTAAAAAACAGAGAGAGAGAGAAAACTGATGTTTTTTTCTTCTTCTCGTGTTAAATGCTGATCTATATTAACACTTATATAACACTTTGGTATTCTAGATTAAAGCTTCACTTACCAATGATGAGCAGCCCTACAGCAGTATGGTTTTCATGTCTGCGTTCATCATGTTTGTCTTGGGCGGAACAGGTGTGTATCAGGGCATCTTCAGTGTGTGTGTGTGTGTGTGTGTGTGTGTGTGAGTGTGGCATTCAGTCTCTTGAACAGTTCACAGAGCGTTTGGAAACGGACTGTACCATCTTCAGCACTCTGAGGTGGGTCAGACTGGCTTATTGTGCTCAATGCTCCACCTCCATGAGTAAAATATAAACGGCTTCCAATGCTGTACAAATCAGAATGTGTTCTATTTTGAGTTTATTGCCTCAACATGCGGCTTTGTAAATATCACAATAACAAGTAATTATAATCTCTGAATATCACAAAAGTGATTGTTTGAGTTGTACATACCAAAATCAATGCCTCAAAATCCAACATTTAAAGGGATAGTTCATCCAAAAATGTCAATTCTGTCATCATTTACTCACTCTCAAGCTGTTCCAGACCTGTATGGTTTTCTTTATTCTGCTTAACATTACAGAAGATATTTAGAAGAATGTGTGGAACCAAACAGTCGATGGACCCCATTGACTTCCAGTTTATTTTGTGTTTAAATGCAATAAATAAATAAATAATCCATTATATCAAAGTTTGAGATAAATAGCACAAAAAAGTGTGTTACAGGCGTTAAAACAAAAAAGAGTAGACTGCAACTATCCCCTGTGCTCCCATAACATTTCTAAAACAAAAACACTCATTTACTGATTCAGGGCTCTCTAGCAATATTTGTTAATCCTAATTTCTCACCGATTCTCACATTATGATGTTTTATAGTATTACTTACAGACTTACCTATTTGTCAGAATTTATATGAAGAAACAACACAGCTTGTTGCCTTATTCTCCACTAGATGTCGTCGCAGGACATTAAATGTGATCAAACAAACGTTTCAAACGGAAGACAGAAAGAGTTTGATGGATTGAAAACCTGTTGGGGTTAAGAATCTCTCATAAACTATGAATTATTGGGATGAGTCTGGATCAGTTATTGCAGTATAGGTACATTTTTTAAGTCTGATGACAAGACAACAGATATGATTCTGCACTAAATGTACTGTAATTTCTGCGAGCTTGCCTGTGTGGGGCGGGGCTGACGGCGAGGGGCGGAGAATTCACACATGAGGGCGGGGTTTCGGGCGAGGGGCGGAGGATTCACACATGAGGGCGGGGTTTCGGGCGACGGGCGGAGGATTCAAACATGAGGGCGGGGTTTCGGGCGACGGGCGGAGGATTCAAACATGAGGGCGGGGTTTCGGGCGACGGGCGGAGGATTCAAACATGAGGGCGGGGTTTCGGGCGACGGGCGGAGGATTCAAACATGAGGGCGGGGTTTCGGGCGACGGGCGGAGGATTCAAACATGAGGGCGGGGTTTCGGGCGACGGGCGGAGGATTCAAACATGAGGGCGGGGTTTCGGGCGACGGGCGGAGGATTCAAACATGAGGGCGGGGTTTCGGGCGACGGGCGGAGGATTCAAACATGAGGGCGGGGTTTCGGGCGAGGGCGGAGAATTCACACATGAGGCTGGGGTTTCGGACCTGGGGGAGGAGTTCAGACTTCAGAAATATAGATTTATGGCATCATTATTATTATTATTATTATTATTATTATATAGGGTGGGTGGTAGAACCACCCAATATCAAAAAGCATGGCAATTGAAAAACAAGGTCAAAGCCCGGACAATTTAGCTATTTAAAAATCCCGACTGGACGCCTTTTTAAGGTCTGAAAAAGAGGATGTGAACGGGGAAAAAGGGCGGGTCACCCTGTCTATAATTCTAATGAGTATAAAACACCCACTGATCAGGCTGATGTGTGTCTAATTTCACATGATAAAAGGAATGGTTCCAACTAATCTGGTAAGCACATTGTAAACGTGTATGGTCATCATGTGAAAGCAATGTTTGAAATGTGTACTGCATATGTCATTCTGTTTCAGATACTGTTTAAAGACAGTGGGTAGTATCCTGTATACTAAAATGCAGCAAGCAGTAGTATTCTGAGCAATAAGATTCTTTTTCCATTTTGATTAATGTTCTGGCAGTAATATAAGGCGCAATTTGAGACTTTTTTATAACCATCAAACGTTTTCACTTCATATTGCATTTTTTATTATTAAAAATAACCATATTTCTTTATATACAAACATTAAGAGGTAAACAAAAGTAAAACATACTAATGATGGAAATGCATATCATTGCATAACAATCACTGTTTTACATACTATGTAAAAAAATAGTATGCAGTATTCAGTATATACTGCTCAGTATGCAGCCAGAATCACGCCATTGCGAACACAGTCAGTGCCCTTGTTTGAGCATGCGTGCATGGTGACAAACCCACGAGACTCCACCTTCCAGTAACAAGAGATGATTTATCATGAGCACACTGGCGACAGAGGAACAGAAATCAGCCGATGCTTTCACAAAGCCAGTGCATCTGATGTGAAAGTTTTTTTATACTGCGCAAAACGATTAGAATACAGGTCCACGCGTGGGAGAGCACGAGAGAGAAGACGGCGTTCAGTTTGCAAGTGGGAAGCAGCGCAAATGAAGCGATGGAGACGGATGTACTGGTGGTGCATGTGATAAATGCATGATTGCATGGACGCTTTTCCCTCGAATTCAAACGGGCTTGTACGACAAATCTATGCACTGTTGAGTTAGAAATATAGCATGCTCTGTCAGGTTATGAATATGCCGTGATAATGCGGGCTGGTTTGTCAGGTTATTATTTTCATTGCATGTTCAGAAATCTATCAAGGCATTTTTACAATTTGTTAAAGTAATACAGATAATGGCTTCCTGATAAGGACCAAGCGACCAGTCCAGAGTGCCAAATGCAAGTCTCATAGAGGGCAAACTGGAATTGGAGATGGAAGAAATGCAATTCACAACCCACTTTTGGAGGCCTCGATCATACTAACCTCAGTCTGAACTGCCGTTTCCAGCACCACGGACAGCGACCATGAACAGGCTACGCAGAAAAGCGTGTGTGGCTCTTCTATTGTTCACTTTGTTCATTTTTGGTACTATGATGGGCCTACGAACCCTCAAACCCACTGATGGCTTCTCGGATCTTGCGCCAGGAATGGAGTTGATGCCTTTGATTGGAGAGCGAATGGACCAGAGACCCAATCAAGTAGTTGAATCAGCAGGTCAAAATGGTGGCGGGGGCAGTGACACCAAGATACTGTTTTCCAACTCTGGTCCCGACCACAGCATATTCTATGACATTCACATCTTCTATTATTTATGGTATGGCTCGCCACAGATGGACGGTAGTTATATACACTGGGACCATGTACTGGTACCACACTGGGACCCCAAAATAGCTGCCAGTCACCCAAAAGGACGACACAATCCTCCAGACGACATTGCATCCAGTTATTACCCTGAACTGGGACCCTACAGCTCCAGAGATCCAGATGTCATTGAATCCCACATGGCACAAATCGAAGCGGCGGCTGCAGGTTTTATGGCCAAGATACAATTTGATGAATTGTGCTTGTCATTTATTATATTTATGTTTCTTTGGCTATTATAGTACAATGTAGGTGGTCGTTCATCATTAAAAAAAAAGCCTTAAAAGAGACAAAATGTTGCTTGTAGAACAATGTATTTCCACTTTTGATGCCAGGTGTGGTGGTCCTGTCCTGGTACCCTCCTGATGTGGCAGATGAACATGGCAAACCCACAGAGGATGTAGTGCCAGCTGTAATGGACGCTGCCCATAGACACAGTATCAAGGTAACTGGTGAGAGATCCATAAAACTTATCTGCTTACACAAACACTTGGTTTATGGATTTTTTTCTGATGTATTTGTTTTAAACACTGTCAGAAAAGAATGTGCACAGTATGTACCTTTAGGGGTAAAGCTGCTTGGCACCCAGGCAGGACCTTTAAATGGACAACTTTGCTTCTTAGCTACTCTGAAAAGGTGTATATTAGTAGCTTAGAGTTGGGGTTCCCAAACAGTTTGGTCAACCAAAACCCTTTAGATGTAAAAAAAAAACAAATTGCTAAGTTATTATTTCTCTGATGTTGGTTGATGCTTTCTCGGATGTTGTCACATAACATACAAGTAAACAGAGTAAGTAATGCTAGTGTTTTATGTTGTTTATTTATATATAACATTACTTACTTCCTTACACCTTTTATTATAGGAAAATGTTTCATATTGTTTCTGTTGGGAAACATACTGTTGTGAACATAGCGCACATTGTGTTACAAAATGTTCATTAAACTCACGGCACTTGCAAAGATGGGTTTGTCAAAGACGCATTAACTGTACACTGAGCTGCTCTCAAAACATAGTATTACAAGCTGCCTGTGTGTGTGTGTAAACTATACAGCTACTTTTGAACTTTATAGCTACTTCTTTAGATTCCGGTCTTTTATTTGATAATTGCGATTTTAAAAGGTATTGCTATTTCAGTTTTATCGATTATTTATAAAGCCTCATTTGCTAATTTTAATGTTACATGCTTTTCATCAAGTCACAAACCCCCTGCAGTTCCCTCTTAATCCCCCAGGAGTTTACGAATCCCTGCCTTAGAGTAGTACCCTTAAGGGAATCTTTTATAAACTTTTAGATGCAAAGATGTCCCTTTAAGATGCCCCAGTGACAAATTGATGTACCGCTAAATATACCCTTTTTTTTCTGTGAGAGAAGGTATATCTGAGCTTATATTTAAATTTCAGGACAATTTAGTGACCCTAACCTGATACCTTAAACCTAAAGTGTTCACCTTGAACGGTAAAGGTGAATGGTAAACATAACTTCCACACCAAGTCTGTGCTTATTTATTAATATAACAAATATATAGCCTATGTTGTAAGACTTCATATAAAGACCTCTGTTATGTATTGCAGTTTTCACATTACATCACCCATATGGTGTATAAATGTCAAGAAATAAGCCTAGTATTACATCTTATTTTGTATCTTATCAGTGTCCTTATAAAGGAAGTAAATATGATTTTACATATGATCATTCCTTGTAATATCCCCTTTACAAATTCAACAAAATCTATGAGTTACTAAAAATAGTAGATAGGCACTATAAGCACTAAAAATGGTTTTCAGTTTTGTTGTAACAGCTGAATCGTTTGTGCTTTTGTAGATGAGCCACTGATTGTAATTTCTTGAGCTTGCCTAGTGGTTGCAAAAGTCTCTGTTTACTGCCTATAGCTGTGTTCACCATTTCTGCCTGATATTACTGGGCCTTTTTGTCCATCATGTTTTGTAAGCCCAGAATCCTCTGGTGTCTAGAGAAGCAAGTCGGGAACACCATGCCTGTGATTATTGTCATGTTGTTGTCAGTGTGTGAGTTGTGTCATGGAATGGTTGAATTTTAGCTGTAACATTGGGACTCTTCGTTTTTAAATAGCTTCATCAGTACAGTATGTCTTTTATCTGTAAAGTAATTTGCAAAACGTCATGCTGTTTCCCAAAGACCTTGACCTGCTCAACTGCTCTGTTTTGGGTAAACAAAGCACACCGCATTCTGTGGCACAGATGTAGTTTTAAGTCTTGAAATACACAAGGGGCTGTATTGCAAGGCGACTGCAAAATCTTTGAACAAAATATATGAATTAGTTTGGAAACAGAAAGCAATAACAGTCATTTGTACTCATTCATGAATGCTCCCAGTGGCTGCTTGAGCAGTGGGATGTAATGAAACGTATCTCTTCACTGCATGTGCTTCGTTTCCATCAGAATTGATAGTGTTGGAGTCTGGGCTTTATGTTTGACAATGATGATGACAATTCTCACAACCACACTGAGCTCTTCTACAATCCCAAGTGCCATTGTACATCCTTTTGGTGAGGTCCTTTCTCAAAAACACAATTTTTATTTGTCCTTTTTTTTTATATATAATGTGTCTCAAAAGACAAGTGTCTTGCTGATTAAAACAGTTTACATGTTCTGGCAAACCATGTCCAATTAATTTGCACTCCACTTGTGGCTTCACATCCATGCTAGTAGAACGTTTGGAGGCCAGTATGTCTCAACATGGTTCTGGACATTTCAACAATTTCACTGTCATTAGCTACAACTCATGATTCAGGTTCTACCCACAATTTGAGCAAGACTGGGTAAAATATTGACTTTTTAGTAGAGCCCGACCGATATATCGTTTTGCTGATATTATCAGCCGATATGAGCCTGTCGCAGATATATCGTATCGGCGAATATGCCGCCGATATGAACATTTTTTTACAGAACATACAACGCAGATTAAATGCTTCTGAACTTAGTTTGTCCAACAGAGCGCGGTCCATTGTTTGCTACTGGTGACTCAGGTCAGTGTAGAGATGCGCGGATGAGCTCAAACTTTATTTTTATCCATCAACGTGATTGGATAGAGAGTAATAGGTCTCGTGACTTTCGTCAAATCAAATTGTGCATAGAAAACTTTAACCGCCAACTGTTTATCATGGCTGCTGGAAGTCATGTTACCAATCAGCTAATCAGCAAACGTAATTTGGCAACTTATTGTAACTTGGAAATTGAACTTGAAAGCAGGTTATTACTTGCATTGTAACAAAATATTGAGTTTGAAATTCCAACAAACAGGAAAATAGTGTTGTGAACCCACTTCTGTCTTTGCGAGGCTGAGCTGAAGGTGTTGCCTCATCCCGGCTGAGAAGTCAGAAAGGCTGGCAGAGCTAAATGCTGAAACTTTGAGGTTGTCAAGATGGCCGTACTTGTATGATCGAGTCTAATGTGTTGTGAACTGTGTTGTGAACTGAACCCTGAGGCACCCCGATGGTCAATCGATGTGACTTAGACACCTTGCCTTCCAGAAAACCTTGAAGAACATGTCCATGGATATCATATTTGATCATACCATATCATGCTGTGGATATCATATTTGAGTGTGTATTATGACCTTGGGGTAATCTGTCAGCTAGTTTGTTGATTTATTTTTTGTTCTATGTGCTGTGATTTGCCTTTTTTGAGAAAGGCTGTGCAGTCTAGTTTCTTAACCAGCCCACACTGTAGCATTGATTTACAATTGTTTCTTTGGCATTTCTGCTTTATCTTGGTATCACACATTTAGCTGTAAGGGCACAGCAAAGCTTATAGCCTGAGTGAGTGGATTGACGTCATGCCAGTGCTTATACAACAACCACTGTATCTTCATAACTGTGCTCAAGGCCGTGCCTCATTCTGTACAGACACGTTCAGCCGTTGAAATGAAAGAGGATTTATTAGTACTTTAGTCTTTTTGAGTTGTTCTAAACATGTTTAAAACTTTCCAACCACCAAAGCACTACATTTTCTCTTAAATAGAAATGTTAATCTCATTTGCATTTCATGTTTAAAACATTTTTTTTTTAAAGAGACATTTTGTGCTTGGCTGTTAGATGGCAGTTCAAAAGTGATTTCAGAAGGGAATTGGCACCTCTGATTTGCAAAAATGTGTCAAAGCAAATTCACAATTCAACAGAACATGTTCCCCGTCATATAGCATGAATAATGAGACGAAAGGCAGAGAAAGAGACTTGAGACAGGCATCACAAATCAGATTTTGTATATATTTTTTTTTGCTATATCTGACTCAAATCTCTTTAGACTGATGAAGAGCTTTTAGGCTTGAAATGTCACCTGTGGTGAGAACATAAATAGTTTTCTGCATTTGGAGCTGTGGTGTGCCAACTTTGATCTTTCTTTATGCAACATTTTAAGGTTGAGCATCCACATTGAGCTCTTGGCCTGTTGGACGTGTGCACTTCAGGTGTAATTTTAATGCATTTTGTTCTTATGCATCTTATGAGTGTGTCACCTTTGTGAGTTGTAACAATGAACATGGGCAGAGGCTTTTTTTTTCTTTCCATCCTCTTTTCCTACACTGACTGTACCATTACAGGTCATGACTATAGCAATAGGTGTAGTTGTAACCAGTTATTGACTACACTGGCGGTCAGTCCTCAAGAAACAGAGGGCCAATGGATCATTTCAGGTGTTGAGCACCTGCAATTTGTGTTATCAGCAACCTCCTTCTCAAAAGACTGGTGTAGTGCAGATGTTCATGTCCAAAGTGTCTGCTGTCAAACTGACCATGACAGACAGAGCTGCGTCGCTAAATGCAGGTTGCCATGGAACCAGTTTATGAAGACCTTCTGGATTGGCAGTGTGGAAAATGGTGGGTGTTTGTGCTTGGCTTTTCTCATTCAAGGCCCTAAGGGCTTTGCAGTTCAATCAGCCTTGTGCATGTCGCAGTCACTGAAGTGGAGAGGGTCTGTCTCCTCTGAGTATTCAACATGACACGTCTGTGTCTTAAGCTACCATGTTTCTGGGACTTTGAGAAAGTCATCTGTCAGCCACCTTACAAAGGTGTTGCAGCAGAATAGAGCAATATGATCAGTAGCTCTGATACATGGGTGATGAAGTTGTTATTCACAGATAATCTTCGCCTCCAGTGCATTGTGAACTTGAGAACTGTTGTAGAAAGAAATAGGGTAACACTTTAGTTTAGGGACCAATTCTCACTGTTAACTTATTATTAGCATGCATGTTGGCTGTTTATTAATACTTATATATATATATATATATATAAAATTTCCCATGCAGCGTTTATTTGATCAGATGACACCTGTTTTGATATTTTGCATTTAATACAATGACATTTACACATTTTTTTAGTGTAACTTAAGTGTCCAATTACTTTTTAGTTGCATCTGTATGCCCTCTACTATATCATTATCAAGATATGCATCAGTTTATTACAGGTATACAGACAGATGTGTTGTATGTTTGAATGATACATGATTTAGAATCTGCTAGAGATTGTCTTACTTCATTAACTTTAATTCTTTTCAGGTTGCGTTTCACCTGCAGCCCTACAAAGGCCGGACAGACCTCACTGTGCACGACAACATCAAATACATCATTGACAAGTAAGCTGCACCTCCTCAATACCTCCTGCGCCGTTCCAGAACTAAAGATCACAACGAGCCTGTCTGCAAACCTGAAAGTCTAGCCCTTCTCCATCCTGATGAGCTGGCTTGCTTTGAACTCAGGAGTTGGGGTGAAATTCAATCCAGCCTGGCGAACAGAAAAGAGAGCGGTCTTTTAAAAATAGAGGTCTTTTCCTCCATTAATCATTCATGAAACAGAACGTATAACATGACCCGATGGTATTGTGGCTAACTCACTCCGGTTCAAGAGAACAATGGCTGCAGTGTGTAAATCTATAACACTGTAACAGTCTACTGACTGTAGCATGCAGAGTCGTTTTGTTTACCAAATATATTAAAGTAATTTGTCCTTGAATTGTTCTCTAGCAACAGGAATGCTTTGGAAAGAAAGAAATTATGTAAAACCGAGCTAAGTAAAGTGTAGGTTTACATGATCTGAGTATCAGGTAATACAGTCATCTGTACTGCTGTTTCTCAAGTGCTTTCCGTGAGTGCGATTCGAGACGGAGTGAACACGGACAAAGGCGTTTCATTCATTCATAACCCCCCCAGCACAGTTTTGTATAGGGCCCCCAGAAGTCTAGGATCGGCACTGATTACAACTCTGATATGTTCTAAACTGAGTTCAGTATAAATAAACACTAAATAAATAAATAATCTTTTTACAGATACGGGAAACACAGGGCTTTCTACAGGTTCAAGTCCAGCACTGGGAAGATCCTTCCGCTCTTTTATGTGTACGACTCCTACCTTACCCCACCGGAGGCCTGGGCTGAGCTGCTGACCGTCAGAGGCTCTCACAGTCTCCGAGGAACTCCTTACGATGGCATCTTCATCGCCCTCATTGTGGAAGAGCGTCACAAGCAGGACATCCTGACTGGTGGGTTCGACGGCATGTACACCTACTTTGCTTCGAATGGCTTTTCCTTTGGATCTTCTCACCAGAACTGGAAAGCGATCAAAGCGTTTTGCGACAAGAACAACTTGCTGTTTGTGCCTAGTGCTGGACCTGGTTATATGGACACTGCCGTCCGGCCGTGGAACAACCACAACACACGCAACAGAGTGAATGGACGATATTACGAGACCTCTTTGCAGGCAGCGATGTCCGTTAGGCCTGATATCATCACAGTAACATCATTTAATGAGTGGCATGAAGGAACTCAGATTGAGAGGGCCGTGCCTAAGAAGACTGTGGCCCGTCTGTATTTGGACTACAAACCCCATCAGCCAGACCACTATCTGGAGCTCACCAGGAAGTGGGCAGAACATTTCAGTAAGGAGAAAGAGCAGTGGCTTATGTGATTGGAACTAGTAACGTCTCACTATTGTTGAGTTTTGGGTTTAGAATGTTTTCATGTTATTGACGTTATCAATGTTACCGATTACTGTCTTTCAATTTATGCATACATTTTAAAGGCAGCTAATTAGCAAGAACGAGCCACCTTCTTGCTCCCTTACATAATGTTTAAAAAAAACAATGAATGAGATCTGTCCAAAAATGAAATTTGTGTTTTGCATTTGTCCGTTCTCATTCAGTCAAGTGCATATTCATATATGGGACATCACGAACAGCCCAAAACATGTGAGAACGAATGCTGTTTGCCATCGCTGACATCAAACCTGGCACGAAATGTCTTGATGTGCCATATTTGAGTGGATATGACTGTAAACACAAAGTTAGTGCACAGTTAGTATGCCTTAATGGATTTTATGTTATAATTTTTTTCTCTGTCTTGTTTTATTTTGTCATTTTTGGACCTGAGCAGCATCTATCCTCATTCCCTATCATTGTATGGAGAATAGAAGCGTGAACATTGTGCTATATGCCTCCTTTTGTATTCCAAGTGTGGATTGGAAGTACATGGTCTGAGTGAATTTGGTATTTTAGCTATTCTTTTAACATTAGGCATTGAATCTGACTTCTGCTAGCGGCAACAGTGAAAGACAACTCAGTATTGAAAGACTATACCTTTATTGTGTGTTTGGATGACATATATAAATGGTTGGTGGTTGTGGATATAGATTGTTTGAATAATGGCTGATTTATTATCTTATTTAGTCAATCCTAATTATGCATATTGTAACTCACATTTATTATTAAACAATAAAAGAAAATCAACTATTTTGCCATAATGCTGTATTTTACAGATAATAACAGACTGAGCAGAATGAATTTCTGTCTAAAGTCATCGTAAAACCATTCTTCTGTAAATTGTCACATTTATGTCAGTGTCTCAATTTAAAGGGGTCATATGGCGTTGCTAAAAAAAGAACATTATTTTGTGTATTTGGTGTAATGAAAACGGATTATAATGTTTTATACTGTCTTTTTACGCATTGTGTTGCGTTGCGTTGCATCACGCAGCGTAAAGATAAAACCATGTCTGCATTTGTGATCAGAGAAACGGCAAACAACAAGCGCTACTCTACACTGCTCAAAACTCGCATTTGAATCTCTTTCATAACGAAACACACAGCGTCTCCACGACATGGTGGTGGCAACAACAAAACTACAGCGATAATCAAAGTTATGCCTTCTTTCTTTGCGTGAACATTTGGGCGGCGTTATGCAAATCTTCCCACATAGTGA